TGCCCCGGCGCGGGAGTGCTGGTAGGCAACGTAGAGCGCCTAGAATGGGGACGCTGCAAAAGCTTGTGCGCGTTTCCCCAAGCTACCAGCGATGGGGGTGAGAAGTGCAAGCTTGGCTGAGCGCGCCTTAAAAACTTTGACAGTCCGCAGGGATCGTTTTGCAACCTTAATACCTAAAATTAAGAGGGTATGTTGAGAAATATTAACTGTGAAATACGTAGACACACGCACTGAAAGCAAGTCAGTGTGTTAAGCGGGTGTACACGCTGCCTGCAAAGCGCTGCTGGTGGTCTGCTGGTTGGTTATTTCTTTACTACAGGTGACAGCGGAACAAGTGGCCTTTGGGGGGGATTTATTCGTAGCACATATATTAATATTGCGTTGCTGTTTATATTCGTTGTATCCACAGGACTGAAAAAACGTACAAGGAAGGCCTTTGGTATACGCAAGAAAGAAAAGGATACTGATTCCACGTAAGTCGATGAGATATAAAACGCATTAATATATAATGACACGGGGGAGAAGTTGATGCCAATGTGGCATGAAGGAAGTGAACTTGATATGTGATAGGCGTTTGTCCTTCTCGAATCAGGCCACGTAATGATAAGTATGTTTGAACTATTTCCCTCTGTGTGTCTAGCAGCTAACGAATAAGGTGTTTGCTCGGTTACGTCACGGAGACGACAAAGCCGGTTCTCCATGCGTTTGCAATTTATGGTGGCGACTAGCGGGAATAGGAAGAAAATTCCTCCTGGGGGAGCTGGGAGGGAGGCTGGGGCCGGGGTGGCCCAGGGGGTGGAGGACACCAAAACACCAGGAAGGGTGGTCAGACGGGCTGGAAATGAGACAAAGCAGCAGAAGGAAAGGAGTGGGAGAGGAAAGTTGGGAAGCGAGTGCAACCCCGCGCGGGGTCGGCCAGCCGCGTAAAGGGAGGAGGCGCCCGGGCTGCTCACCGTGCCGGTGGCAGCCTGCGGCTCGCGGCCAACGGAGGTGCACGCATGCGCCGAGCCCGAAGAAAACACACACGGAGCAACAGTGGATTCCTGGACTGGGGAGCATCCAGGAACGGGGCTGGAGCCTCGCCAGAG